TTCATTTTACGAGAACGCGAGAATACCATTTTACTATAGACAATCACATGTGATACTATTATTTCATCACATATGATACTAAATCAGAGACACGGACGATTTTCAATAAGATCTTGGTTGCGGGCCAAGTTGCCCTTAAACCACTAAGCCCTCTCATAGGTATTATCACTTGTGATAAGGGTGTTGTTGATATGATACTATAATCCATCAATACCATCACATGTGATGCTAAATCATAGACGCAGACAACCTTTGGCACGACCTAAGTTGTAGAACACGTCGTCTGCACATCACAGGGTATCCTCATGCTTATTATCACATGTGATAAGGGTGTTCTTGCGTTCTCGTAAAATGAAGGTGTTTCTCGTTTAAGCCTTCATTATATATATATATATATATATATATATATATATATATATATATCACCCAACCTCAAATTTGCATATATAATACATGTTTCATATAACATGTACTTCTAGATAAATACATATTTGTCTCAAATATACATAACGGTACTTGTAAAAGTTACTACAAACTTCTTACTCAAACTACATGACTTGAATATAATAGATTCACAAGTTCATGTAATACACAGTTTCCACTAAATTCAAGTTCAGCACAGCTTCCACTAAATTCAAGTTCAACATATAATTAGATGTAAAGCTATAACCCTTCAAATCACATCTTCTCTTTCCTTTACCTTCTGGATATGCCTTACCTGAAATGCAAATTTTTTAAAAACAAAAATGAGGGTTATACTACAAGGTTTAGTGGGTAATTCCCTGATAACTTTACATGGTGAAAAATTACCAAAAGAATTGTGGAAGTCAACCTTGAAAAGTCTTCAATATATGAACAATAGTTATCACACCAAACATTAACTTGTCGCATCACAAGGATGAGACAAATCAACTCATCGCATCTCAAGGATGCGACAAACCAACTCATCACAAAGATGCAACGACCCCAAGTCATCATATCAAGCAGATGCGACAACCTCATTCAAGTGATCAAATTTAAACAAAAACATTGAGTATGTCACCCTTATTTCAAATACACCTCTCCAGATTATGCCACCCTTATCCTAGTATACACCTCTCATGTCGATTATGCCACCCTTATTCCAGTATACACCTTTTTTGCCGATTTTGTCAGTAAACCAATATCATCCTCACAATTGATAATACAATATCAAACCCCAATTACGCTAACAAATAGCAAATAATTATATCTGAAACACCCAAATTTCGAAGCCCAATAGGTTTCTTATCGAAAGCATTTCAAATTAAGCTTTTGAAATAAAAACTCACCGTCATCACAATTAGATGATATACTTTAAACCGGCAAAAAATTCAGATACTGAACACGTAAACTTTCTTCGTCTTTTGTTCGAACCCAGAGTCCAAAATATACTCTCTCTTTCTTCTTATCACTTCTCTCTTTCTTCTTATCATTTCCAACTCGAAAGAAATATATGAAAGAAAAGAAACAAAAACACACACACACATATATATATATATATATATATATATGTATATATACATACTAGAAAAGTACTCGTGCAATGCAGCGAGACACATCTCGATTTTAATGTTCTATTTTATTCGTCTCTGTCGATGCTATAATACGATTTTATTTATTTTTAAGAAAACAATAATGATTTTATTTTTGATTAAAATATAAATTTGAAAATATCATAAAAATTTGAAAAAAAATATATATCAATGTTAATATCAAATAAACTATTTAAAAGTTCTCATTCTTTATGTAATTTCTTTAATTTATTTTTTATTATAATTTAATTTAAGTTTAATAACGAAATAATTTATTTTTGGTTTAATAATATAACATTTTATAAAGATAATAATTAAGTATTCTGTTAGAACTCAATGATTATCCTAATTATATTTTACATATTTTATATTTAAAATGAGATGTTTATCATGTATTTGATTATGTTTATCTGCAGTTAGTTACACGAATTCAGATATGAAGCTTTAATAAGTTGTAATTACAAACAATCTACTTGCAATCTTAAGTTTTAAATAATATGCATTAATAAACAGTACTATACGCATAATTTTTTTAAGAGTTTTTGTCAAATACTTTATAATATATATATATATATATATATATATATATATATATATGCTTTTTTTTTCCCAAAGAGGCGATGGATTTTTTAAAAATTTTAAACCAAAATTTTAAAATACACCCCTTCAAACAAATTCAAAAACAACCCTAGACTTTCAACAAAATAACCCGGTTATAACAACATCCTCTCTTTAAAGGAATTCCGTCCCGAAATTCAATCAATCAAACAAATGAGGATATTTCATTCTCATATCAGACTACAACTCCCAGGTAGCCTCTTGCCCTTTATGATATCGCTACTGGACTTTTACCAAACGAATCTCTTTGTTTCTCAAAACTTTAACTTTATGATCAGTGACAGTTTTCGGGGTTTCAATAAAACATAACTTCTCATATTTCAGGTAGAGGTATAGCTAACTTTGGATCAGTTAAACACTTTCGTAGATTCGAAACGTAAAGAGTGTTATGAATAACACTGAGCTCCAATGGTAATTCTAATCAATATGCTACCTCACCAACCCGATCCTTGATCTTAAACAACCCAATATACCTTGGGACTTACTTTATCCCTTTTTCCAAAACGAACGATCCATTTCCATGGTGAAACTTTCAACATTACTCTATCCCCCACTTTGAACTCAATTGGTTTACGACATTTCTCGGCATAACATTTCTGTTGATCCTGAGCCGTCTTTATTCGTTTATGATTCTGATCTATCTTTTCTGTCGTTAACTGAACGATTTTTGGACCGACTAATTGATTTTCTCCCACTTCATTCCAACACAACGACGTTTGACTTTTTATGTCGTATAATACTTCATAAGATGTTGCCTGTATACTGGGCTGATAACGGTTATTGTAAGCCAACTCAATTAAAGGTAAATGATTTTTATTCAAGCCTCCAAAATCAGTAATACAAACACACACCATATCTGTTGGAATCCTAAGTCTTGGGGTCCAAGCAATCACGATTATGGAAACAATGACAAGTCGGTTCATACTTTCCTAATTATAAGCTAATACAAGTTGGTTATTAGCTTCTATAAATACATTGTTTTAGATTGAGTTTTTTTAATCTTTTGAAACATTGTAAACACCGTGAGTTTTGAGTAGTTTTCTCACATTAATCAAAGAGTGATTTTGGTTATTTAGTTTTGCAATTATTCAATACCAAACTTTAATTGGTATCAGAGCCAAGAACCGAAGGCTATGAGATCGAATTACCTTCCTAGTGAACAAGTCGGTCACCATGTCAGGAGCAGAAACACCTGCCGGTACGTCGACGAAGGAGAAAGAGACCGGAGCCACCTCGGTGCATTGTCCAATGCTCATGTCGACGAACTACACCGTTTGGGCTATGAGGATGAAGGTTGTATTAAAGATTCATAAGGCTTGGGAGATAATTGAACCAAGAACTACAAAAAATCAAGATAAAGATGATTTAGCAATGGGTTTGATTTACCAATCGATACCTGAAAATCTTATAATCCAAATCAGTGAACAAGATTCATCTAAGGGACTTTGGGATGCAATCAAATCAAGGCATATGGGGGCTGACCGTGTGAAGGAGGCACGATTACAGACTTTGATGTCCGATTTTGATCGATTGAAGATGAATGAGTCGGAGTCGATCGACTCTTTCACTGGAAGATTATCTGGAATTGCATCCAAGGYAGCAGCATTAGGTGAATCGATTGATGAACCAAAGATGGTGAAGAAATTCCTGAAGTCKCTACCGMKRGYAAAAWTCATTCATATTGTCGCCTCTTTGGAACAKGTGTTGGATTTGAAAACCGTTGGCTTCGAAGATGTAGTGGGGCGATTAAAGGCTTATGAGGAGCGGATAAGGGAGGACGAAATCAGTGGTGAGGATCAACCGCAGGTTCTGTTCGTCGACCATGGTGGAAGTGCGAATCGGAAGTCACAGAAGGGGAGATCGAAGGGGCTGGGTCCTAACGGGTCTTATAATTTGAATGGGTCTGGTGGATCAAACAATGCTAACCGGGCTTCTCATGGTGGAAAGGCCAAACAACATTGGGCCAATAACAACCGCAAATCAACTCGGTCCACAAATCAGTCCAATAATGACCCGAAAAGGGAAAAATAAAAAAGACCGGTCCAAAATTATTTGTTACCGGTGTGATAAACCGGGTCACTTCGTGTCTCAATGTCTGGACCGAATTCAAAAATTACAAGAAAGTAATTTTACCAAAAGTGACGATACCGAAGCGACCGTATTTTTACACGAGACCGAGTTTATAAACGAAGAAAAGGTGATACCGTCTCAATCACATGACGGGAAACCGGTCGTTTTTCTCCGAACTCGATGAAGGAATAACCGGGAAGGTTAAATTTGGAGATAATTCATGTGTAAAAATCAAGGGAAAAGGTGCCACACTTTTCCAAGGCAAGAACGGTCAACAAAGGCTGATGACAGAGATTTATTACATACCAAATCTCAAGAACAACATCATTAGCCTTGGTCAGACAACGGAAGCCGGGTGTGACATTCGAATGAAAGGCAACGTTCTGACCATGCATGATACCAATAATCATTTATTAATGAAGGTACAAAGAACTCCAAACCGCCTTTATAAAATAAAATTAAAAATTGGAGTACCTATTTGCCTTCATTCGAGACTAAGTGTGGATACGTGGCGATGGCATGCTAGACTCGGGCACATCAATTTCGAGTCAATGAAAAAGATGTCCAAGAAGGGTCTAGTTAAAGGGTTATCCCAATTTGATCATGAGAATCAACTGTGCGAGTCTTGCTTGGTGG